GTGATATACAATGTAGACGTAGGACAAAAGCAGGTTGAGGCATGTTGTTTGGTGCTCGCTGTTGGACAGAAAGCAGATATGGAAAATTATAGGCCAAAGGTGAATGTTTCAGAAAAAAATTAGCTTGTGGGAAAAGAGTTGTGGTGGAAATAGCAGTGCTGGTCATTAACTAAGGTTAGATGCCTGCAGTTATACATGTGCATATAACATTTGTGTTTGCAGTTTTTCCAAACTTGAAATATCACTTTACATGAGCCCAAAGCAATGCAAATGATCTGATACTCAGAAGTTCATTACATGCTTGCAACAATAGGACTTCTCATTTCTGATTTTCCCCACTTTTCTTCTTTTACAGTACTTCAAGCCACTTTCTGCACCTACTTTCAATTTGTAAATGATATAATGAAGGCACCAAAAATATCTCTTTTTTTCAGTATAGTGAATCTAACTTACATACTTTGTTTCATAGACTCTTGAACATAATTTTATTAATGTACTGTCATAATGACTGTTGTTTGCTGCTGTTTTTCTAGATGCTGTAAAAGCCTTTAAGGAGGCAAGACAGAAGCCATCTAAAACTCAGTCTTCAGATGAGCATTCATCAGAGCAGCAACTTTCTCAAAAGTCTAAATTGATGCAACATTCTAATAACCGTGTAGATAACCGAACACATACACAGCAAGAAGATAAAACAATGGCAAATGAGAAAACAGCCACCAACATAGAAAATGAAGAAATCTGTACAAGAGAAGATGAACAGAAGATGTTGGACATTGAAAGAACAGATTCTTTGGGTGATTTGTCATTGCAAGCTTCAGAAAAACACACAGGAGTTCAGGATCAAACAGAAATTACAATTGACAGGCCAAAAAGAAAAAAACTGACAAGGGTAAACAAGTTCAGGATAACAAACGAATCAAATAGTGATGTTAGTGACATGGAAAAAAATGATAACAAGGAGTATTTTGATGATAGCACCGAAGAGAGATTTTATAACCAATCATCCGATTCTGAAGATAGTGATAGCAATGATGATTTCTTCATTGGCAAAGTGAAGAAAAAGAAAAAAAAAGTAGCAGATAGTGACCTTTCTCCAGCAAAGGAAAAGAAAAGACTGAAAAAAGCATTACTAAACAAAACAAAGGACTCAAAATTGATGATGATGCAGAATATGAATACAGAAGGAAGTAAATCAAGTGTAAAAGCAATGAAGTTGGAATCACTATTTTGCAATTCTCTGTCCAGATCTGATCAGCAATCCAAAAATATGAAGAGGTACCCTTTTTTCCCATGTTAGTTATAGAAATTGTGGAGTAATTATTAATGACTTATAATATTTCTCATCAATTGAACAGAATTTCAGCCAATCACTGCTCGGAGAATTTGGTTCTTCCTTGACCATTATGAATTTTTCAAATTCTTCCTGGCTCAGGAAAATTTTTCATATGTCAGTGTTAACAGAGTCTTAAAAGATGCTCTAAAAAATGTAACTTCTCCTGATCTTCATAAAAGCTAATCTCAAAAGTTCAAGTTGAGCCAAAAACCAAAATCACAGTTACATACAAAAAGATAAATTATTTGTAGTTTTTGCATTGGTTCACATCAGTTTCACTTCATTGTCAACCCTATAGCAAGAGTTGTGTATGATCCTAGGGCCATGTATGTTATCCAGCAAGTATGGTGGAGTTGGCTATATTTTTTAAACCTTCTATTATAGTTTCTTAGATCTTTAATACTATTTTTTCTTTTTTTTAGAAATGTTAATGATCAGACTTTCAAAAACAGAAGAGCAGGTATGTGTCCATGATACTGCAGCTCCATTTGAATTCCTTAAAATGCCTAAAGTAAAACCTGTTTATCTTTGTATAGCTAATTACAGTGAGGTAATCTGTTTTATTTCATGTTTTGATTTAGGGATTGTCTTCATGAAAAGAATTAGCAGTTGGGAATCTACCCCACCAGTAGCCTATCATAGACTGTCTGTGTGGACCTGCTTAACATAAATTAACAGTTTGTTAATGTGCTTTAGTTTAGTCCTATTTCACAGAGAGCTGGAAGAGAACATGTTATCAAACTGCATCAGCAAGTCTTAAGTGGACACTTACTCTGCAGTAGGCTAATGCAAGGTAGAGTCACACTCTGTCTTGCCTCAAACTAAAATGTTTACGTAGACAAGTCCTTAGTGATAGTTATTCAGATACAGGCAGTCCCCGGGTTACGTCAGTCCGACTTAAGTCGGACCCCTAGTTACGAACTGGGGTGGGGGGGCGCAGCTAGTGCGGGGTGCCTCCCCCACTGTCGCCG